GTTAATCAGAATCAGAACCAACTTTATATGATGAGAATCTTGTATACAAAACAGGTCCCTGAAGGAAAGTCCCAAGTTGTACACACAAAAATACACTCACACACAGACACACACACACACACACACACACACTCTGTGGGCTCAGGAATTCAGACTGATCTCTCAAACTATTTTAACCTTTAGGAGAACCGAAGCTAAGGCTCCAAGAACTTGTTCCTGACTAATTACTATAATTAAAAACACAATAGATGCTAACAAGCAATGATACAGTAGGGTTGGGGCGTGTAGGACACTGGAAAATGTAGTTACAGGAATACAGTAAGTCAGAATCACTTATAGCTGTGAAGAAACAGCTCAGCATTTTGGTTAATATGCTTACGTGTGTTCTTGCAAGTATTCACCTCTGTTTGTTGAATATAAAACTACCACCAATAGCTGGTTGGCTTAGCTTAGAACAAAGACTGGGGAAACCACTAGTCTGGCTCTGTCCAACCAAATCCACCTACTGGCACCTCTGCAGCTACCGATTAGCATGTCATGTCTTGAAGTGTTCTATGTTGAAATTAATTGTGCTGAATTATTTATTGGTCAGGTGTCATAACTTCCTACTAGCACCTATAAAACCACAACTATTTTTGAACTTGAGCTTTTGTATAAATGAAAGAAATGAGCAATGCAGGTTAATTAATGTTGGATTACTGTTACACCGGGATAGAGCCAAGCTAGCTAGTTTTCCTCAAGTTTTATTTATTTATTTGTTTGTTTGTTTATTGCTAAGCTTAGCTAGCTGGTTCTAGCTGCATATTTAGGGCTCAACCATGAGAATGGTACCAATCCTCTCATTTAATTCTCAGCAGAAAACGAATAAGGGAATTTCCCAAAATGTTGATTTATTTCTGTAAATAAACTGGTGTATGAAAATTTTTGACTTTGGAAACAGTAGTTTAACAGAAAAATTATCTTATGGTTCAAATCTGTACAGTGCTAAAACAGTACACTGTTGACATAAGCATGTGTTTTCAAGTGCGATCGCTGAGAAGGAACTTGGATGGGTCTGGTCTGAAGGTAATAATGGTGTTAACACATAAAGGTCAAGGGTGCTGCAGTCACACAGATATATTGTTACTCATCGTGTTAAAATTCACATGGATTTTGCTGGACTGATGACAATATAAATGCCTGTACTTCAGGAAAATCCTCCTTATGTGAGAGTTTAAGGAACTGCAAACATTTTTGTGTACTCACAGCATGAACTCTTTTACAAAAATATGCCTGCAGTGACAGAAATAAAAACGGTCAAACAAGCTATCTAAACACAACTAAATCATTAAGAACATTTGTAAGCCCCTACTTGAAATTGAACTGTAATTAAATGTTATTAAGCGGCCGCTTTCTCATTGTACTGCATTGTATTCCTGAGGAAATGTGCTTGACTATTTAAAGACGTCGGTAAACAGTATTTAGACATGGTGTGTGGTCTTCAGTTTCAGTACCTTATACTGACAGATATGAGATACAGAGATATTATACTAAATAAAAAATATATACTTTGATGGCAGCATTCATCAAAGTAGATTTAAATTTTCTATGTGTGAATTTCCATTTACTTCAACATAAAACAATTTCACTGGCCTTTTATGTATTAAAATTTAAGCAAAACCGTGTCACAGCTGCTGGTCAAGTAATGTGCTCATGGAAACAACATGTTCTGATTAGAGTGGTCTCTATATACGATTGGAAGGTGTGTACAACTCTATCGAGGCACATGCCAAATCAGGACTTTGCCATTATTTGCTGTTCGCTTTGTGGTTCTATTACATGACTGGCATATAATCAGTTCAAACTCAGCATTTCTAAAGTGCTGCTTCAGAGAAAGAGCAGAGAGGGTAGGAAGTCACTTCCCGCCGGCCTGTCTGTGGTCTGTGTTTGTCAGTTGATTTGAAGCTGCTCCACCAACATGCTGTGACAGGAAAGGAATTAACTCAGCAAGGAGACAAAATAAAAAAAGGCCTCAAAGGAGGAAGATGTTAAAAACTCTTAAATATGCGATGCACATTCAAACCTGCACTGAAATCCATTGAACCCTGACATGTTTCAAGCCTCACATGCTGGGAGAAATTCAGCAGTGTACAATAAACCTTTTGTAACAGCTCAATAGTCACACTAAAAACATTTCATTATAATGTAAGCTGTATACAGTACACTGTTTTTCTGAAGGGTCAAGTTCATCTGATGAGCAGAGCTGATGCACACACAGTGTAAGTGGCTGTTTTTGCCAAGTAAGATATTCAGATTTGTGTATAGTGGCTCTGTTTTGGCCCAGGCCAAGCCACCTCACCCAGGAGTGTCTGCAATCAAAGGATTTCCAGGTCTCAACTATCTGATTCACAGGCAGCAGTTACTACACTCACTAGGTTAGTGCACCACTGCTGTAGCACACGTAAAAATGTATCTGAATTTGTTACATCACCACAACTGTGACATAGTGTGGTATAACACATCATAGCACTGTACCTGGTCGCAGATAAGTTTGTCTAATATTTATGTCACTAGTTTTACAGAATGGCACTGGCAGAAATAAAGTTTAAAACTATAGGTCTACAGCTACTTTTGCAGACTAAATACCAACTCCTCATATCAACTAGAAAAACCAAACTAGTGGTTTTATATGAATTAGTATTTTCTCAGTGGGCAGAGAGCACCAGATGTGATGTTGTGATACACTGTATGTTGTTAATTTAGACTTTATACAGATATACAGTTCATATTTTATACTGCATCACACATCTGTTTAAATTGTAGTTGGGGAGTTAAACAAACTGAATTACACTAAAATAGATTTATAAGCATAAAATATAAACTACTGGTAAATATTTGAGTTCACCTCAATTTGTCCAGCTGTTATTGGTGTAATACAACAGCAGAGCACACTTGTGGTGTTCTTTCTACAGCTGAAGTAAAATATTGTTCAGATAGAAGTTCCCACAGATGTGTTGCATCTGTATGTTACTTTGCTTTCACTCTACATCTGGAAAGTCATCTGCAGCTAATGTCTTGTTCTTTTCTTCTACACAGGGTTGGGTCATTATCCTGTAGGATGAAACCCTGACTTTCTTTGGTAATGGCCTTTTTCTAAATAACACTTCAGAGGCTCTAGTAACAGCCTTTTACACAGATAGAATTTGTTATGAAAGTCATCAATAAAAGTTGGGACACCTGCAGAAACTGTTTGCATCAATTTTCAAGGCTTCGTTTACTTCCACTGCTGCAGAAAAGACAGGTAAACCTGTTACTTGGTCCCTGAAAAGGCCAAGTGAAATTGGCATACAGTTTTAGATTTTGGTGGCTTAAATGTTAATAAAAACTGGAAAATGGGGGTGTTCTGAAACTATTGACCAGCAGTGTACTTATAAATATATTTATTTATACAACTCCAGAACAGAAAAAGTTGGAAGTATGTAAAATTAAAATTGAAAATAGTGATGTGTAAACCATCTGTGTCCTGTATGACATTGAAAACAACACAGCAGCACATTGTTTGATGTGATAACTCATACCTTTTATTTGTGGTTCAAAATAAACACTCACTTCAGTCCTGATGCTACAACACATTCCAAAAAAAGTTGGGACAGTAATGAGGTAAAACAATAAAATAATGATTCCATTTGAAACAGATGACTACAATCATGATTTGGTACAAAAGCGGCATCCAGGAAAGGCTGAGCCCTTTAGGAGCAAAGATGGGCCGAGGCCACCAGTTTACCAACATATGTGTGAGAAAATTATTGAAATGTTTAAAAAGAATGTTCCCTAAAGAAAGATAGAAAGGGATTTGGATATGTCACCCTCTACGGTGCAGAACATAATTAAAAGGTACAAGGAACCTGAGGGATTTAAGTGCGTAAAGGGCACAAGCCTAAGCTGGATGACCGAGCTCTCTGATCCTTCAGACAACACTGCATCAAGGATCGTCACTCTCCTATAAGCAATATAACCACGTGGGCTCAGGATTACTTTGGCACACCTGTGTCAGGCACTACAATATGTAGTTACATCTATAAATGCTGCTCAAAACTTTACTGTGCCAAAAGGAAGCCCTATGTCAACAGTGTCCAGAAGCTCTGGGCTCAGAGACATCTGAGACGGACCATCACACAGTAGAAACATGTACTGTGGTCAGATGAATCAGTGTTTTAGGTCTTTTTTTGGAAGGAATGGACACCATGTGCTCCAGACCAAAGACCAAAAGGACTGTCCAGACTGTTACCAGCAACAAGTCCAAAAGCCAGAGTCTGTCATGGTCTGGGGTTGTGTCAGTGCCCTTGGCAAAGGTCACTTACACGTCTGTGATGGCTCCATTAATGCTGAAAAACACAGAGATGTTGGAGCAACATATGCTGCCTTCAAGACGACATCTTTTCCAGGGAAAGCCATACATCTTTCAACAAGACAATACAAAACCTTATACTGTACATTACCAAGGTCTGACTGTGGAGGACAAGGGTGTGAGTGCTGGACTGGTCTGCCTACAGTCCCAAAATGTCCCTAGTAGAGAATGTGTGGCACATTTTGAAATGCAAATTGTGTCAACGAAGACCCAGGACTGTTGAGCACATTAAGCCTTGTTTGCAGGAAGAACAGGACAAAATGACACCTGACACATTAAATCACTTGGTGTCCTCAGTCCCTAAACGTTTTTTAAGTGTTGTGACAATAGCTACATCACACCGTGGTGAATGTTTCACTGTCCAAACTTTTTTTGGAACGTGTTGCAGCATCAGAATCGAAGTGAGTGTTTATTTTGAACAAAGAATCAAACTGATGAGGTATCACATCAAATAATGTGCTGCTGTGTGATTCAATGTGATACAGGACACAGATGATTTACACATCACTACTTTCAGTTTCAATTTTTTATGAGGGACTCTTTAACCTAAGAAAGTACAAATACAATAGCCTGTTTTTTTCTGTCTGGACTGTAGTGGAGTACAAGTGGCCTATAACTGACATGAAATGGAAATACTGTACTGCTAAAGTACAAGTAAGCCCTACCTCAAATGTGTACTAATAGTACATGCCCTTAGCCACAGTCCGCTGCTGTCAGCCCTATCAGACCCACAGATCCCGCGCTGCCCCACATCGAGCCGCTTCCTCGCCTCCAGCCGAGGAGGGCGCATCCTAAGGGGGCGGGGCCTAGACGGACTCAAGACATACAGCCTATCATAAAGTTTGTCACTGCTGAGAATGCTGCTTACCTGTGCGCCAAAACGCACATATCCCCTCACCTGGGCCGTCTGCCATGGAGAAAATCCGATGAACTATGGCGAGGATATTATTTTTCTGTGTGCATTTTTGACCAAGGGAAGAAGCGACAAAGCTGAGCTGAGACAAAGTTTCTGCAACCAGGGTGCATTTATTCCAAAAAGAAAATAACAGCAGCAGCTCCCAGGAAGAACAGGTACAGAAACTCGGGGTTTTTAATTTGCTACCACTGCGCCCTACTGTCAGTGTTTCCTGTTGTCTGTTTGTATGAGGTTATCTGGAATATAGATCAGCTGGTCTTCACTGATATTAGATATCACTAGACTATATTATACTATATATAGGCCTGATATAAGATGAAGTAAAAGTCAATGAGACTATAATAGTGCACGAGACAGTAACGGTAAATAAATATTAAAAGCGCCCCCCCCCCCAACCCCCCACCCCCCCACACACAAAGTTCAAGTTTCAGTAAACTGAACATTTAGTAAATATAACGTAGCCTACGCATTAAAGCACTTTTCATTTACAGACCAAATCTAAATTTTAGAAGGCAAAACGACAGCTTCAATGAAAAGTAAAAATATTAATTTTAATTTGAATAAGTAATTAATTTTTCTAAATAGCCTATAGTTTGAATTGTTGTCCTGTTTACTGTGTTTTTGGAAGATGCAGTGTAAAGCAGAAAGAAGACAGGTCAGTAAGCTGTTCCTGGCCTGAATAAAACATAAATAGTATTCCATATATAAAGTCCAGGTTTTAGGATATAATAAAATCAAGGTGTAGACCATATTTAAATGACTCCAGACTGCAAGTTAGTATTAGATGTAGCCAGGTGTAGCATTTCAAACAACTGTGCAGATTTTCTGGCTTAAATTTATAGTTTGACTTGAAATAGTTAATAAATGATGGGGGAATCAGGCCTGTTTTTATGGAAAATAATCAAATCAAATCTTATTACTGTTGCAAAATTGGCACTGGTGACTTTTCCGTCCTCATGAGAGTGTGTGATACTTACTAAAACTGGATTATAATGAAAGGTTTCCTAAAGTGTACTATATAAAGTGTACTAGGTAAAGTGTACTAGGTATAAGCAAATTGAAAATATTTTTGTGGACATGTCTGGAATTATGTGTGATTACATACTGACTGTTGTTACATGTTTGAAAGAATAAATAAATCAAATCAAAACAAATCAAATATAAGACGAAAATATGTTCTCCTAGAAATTCAACAGAGGAAGAAGATTTTTCATTAAGATTCACTGATTGATTATTTATCATGGGCAAAACGTTATTAACAAGTGCACATTATGGGATTTGATAGTATCCACTGAATGTGTTAATAACTGTGTTTGGATATGAGTATTACTCAAAAATGCAAAAAGCTTAACTGTGGTGATTGATCGGTATTACACATGTACCTGTCATTATGATATATATGCAGTGGTGGTAGAAGAAATATTTGAATTATGTACTTCAAACTACTAATACTACATTATAAAAATACAAGTTCTACTTAAGTGAAAGAATAGAACACACGGTACTTGCAGTATCAAAAAAGAGTGACATAAAACATAATATAAAAGTAGGATAAAATGAAAACATAAGTGAAGTACCATATAACTGTGTTTAGGTACAGTACGTAAATGTTCGTAGTACCCGTCGACTATCTGTATCATGATAAATTTTTATAGTAGATTCAATTTAAATTTATAAACAAATGAGGAGAATAGGTGCATCTCTTTTTAAATAATCCTGTCCTGGCTGTGTAATCTCTTTATCCATTAAGACAGCTGAGTTACTGTTCTGGGACATGTGTGCCTGTCAGCATGAGGAGGAACAAACCTGCAACCAGTTTTTACTAAGAAAGTCAAGAGTGTCCAAAGCAGCATAAAATATTTAAAATACAGTAGCAGATAATGACGACTCGGATGACTCTATGAACCACTTTTCAAATAGACCTGGATATTGTTTTAAAAACTCATAGGCTGTCACAAGAACAGCTGTGTAAATAGTTGTAAAATATGCAGCAGGGAATCATATAAAGCCGTCATTTACATTGAACCCATCTCGGCATTAATCATAGAGTTCAAGAGAGACTAGCCCTATGTCTTCAGCTCCGTTCATCACTGACTTTATTCTTCGCTCAGGTGTGTAAGGGACGTTGTAGTCCAGTCATATCATATTATTACATAGGGTCAGTTTCAGTCTTTCTTATTATTGCAACCATCATAGTTTTCACAAGGTTGGAGTCAGATGTTGATGATGATCACAGCACTTTATGTTTGTTTTTGCGTGTTCTGTGGTGATGTCAAGTATTTTCATACACACAACAAAGGTCAGAAAGCTTGGATATTAAGAGACAAGTGTGGTATGCTGTTCTGACAACTAACCTGACCTCCGATGACCCCAAGCAGGTTAAAACAAACTACCTGTAAATGTCATATGACCCAAACTGTGTCCAGAGACAGCCAGCATTACTGTTTTATTTGATGTATGGGATAAGATGGGATTGGTGACTTGTGGTGCAGAGGCTGAGGACTAAGCTGGACCTGTCCATTATAGTGGAAAATAGACTTAGGTGAAAACACAGAAGATTAGAAGTCAGAAAAAGTGTAGCCACAGCTGGAGAACCCTACTAAAACAGTTTCTAAATTAGACATTTGGACTGATAACATATGACATAAATAAAAAAAAAAAAGAAATTAGGCAAATGAGAATGAAAAAGTGTAAAAACTTTTACTGAAACTCAGGAAACAGAAAACTCACATTGATATTAAACAAATAAACAAGTGAAAAGTTCTCTCTCTTTCAGAGACTTGTAAACCTGGGGCTGTGCTGGGTCTTGGTTGGGCAGGTTTTATGACCAAAGCACTGTCATGGCTCTGAACTATCCTCCTCCTCCCAGGCTGTCCCCCCATCCCCACCCACCAGCTGTTTCCCTGCAAAGCTCAGATCACTCCTAGCACTTTAAGGAATGGAGGAGTTTGCTGTTTCAGTCTGTTTACAGTCCTGTCAGTAAGAGTGGAGTTGGAGGGACCATTCTGCCATACATCTGAGTCGCATTCCCAAAAAATTACAGAGCAGTAGCTCTGGCTCCAGGCCAGCATGAAATAAATCAGCTTGACCTTTAACACCAGACCTTTAATTAGGGAATTCCAACCTAACTGCTTTATGATTTCATTAGGAATAGAAAGCATCTCTCACTCAAGTTTTGAGAAGGAATCAAAATCCTCTGGGTTTGGTTGTATTTACTCAGTACACTGAGATCAACTAGTCCATCTGAAGGGCATGACCTATGAGTGGAGCCGCATCATCTGTCACCCTCTAATGAATATACATATTGGACAGGATGTAAGCCCTCCACTGGAGCTTGACCTATCGTTTCTGGATGACCTTGTGCAGTTCACTCTATATCGTATCACAAGAGGTAACCTCAAAATTAAAATAGGAGTCTTTAAAGCTTCAGATTACTTTAATGTTTCCTGCTGTAAAGACAGTAGTAGATGTTTGAGGTTGGGGGTGTTGTGAAAGTCAACAAGATTGTTTAGGGCTTGGACTTGTTTGGAGCCAAACAGTTTTGCAGGCTGGTACACTTGTCATACATTTCTAGAGAGTTGCTGAGCTTTAAAAAGCTTACTGCACCTTCTTCTGCATGGGATGGCTGACTGATGCTGTTGAGTTGTGCACAATTGTACATACCTGGACAGTGTTGGCGACAACATGCTGTTTCAAAGCATGTGCCCATAATTATGTACATACAGTAATTGTTCTCATGTTATTGCTGGTTTCCCATTCTCGGGCTCCTGAATGTAGTCAGTCCACAACTGTTGATGCTTTCTGCCACCAGTGTGTAGGAGGTAGGGCATGTTACGGGGCTCCTTTTGTAACTTGCCTGGAGGGCGGTTGTTGTAAATCATGTGTGATTCATAAAAACTGGTTCTCCTGTCTGCCAGGTTTCATCTCCACAGACCTCAGAGACGTACAAATAGATCTTGGCCTGCAGCCATACCTGCTTGGAACGTCTTCCTTCACCAAACGGCTCTCCTGTCAACACTCCCCTTCGCTCTCTGCACCCAGCCCCCACCCGAGTTGATCTCCCCCTAGCGCTGCCTCTGTACAGGGCCGATGATGTTGTTTTCTTTGCGCTTGTCTTTGACTGTCCTCCATGGGAAGTACCTGGCAGCGGATGCATGTGGCAGGCTTCTGCCTGGACACGTCTGTCTCCCCCTCTCTTGTGTCTCCACGGCCACACAGCATAAGAACTACAGTATCCATGGCGATGTAGGAGGTGTGCTTGGGGTTGATTATTTAAATGTTGTAGACAAGAGGATTTAGGCCAGAATGCCTACACTTCTGAAGTTCAGAAAAGTTTGTTCAGCATAAGCTGAGCAACTTCAAAGCCTGTCAAGCTGAAAAAATGACTTCAAATGGTTCACTGAAGTCACTAAGAAAATGCATCTGAGTGTGAAAGACTGAGTTGATTCCAGATTTGAAGATGTAACAATTTGTCTGGTCTCTCTTTCTACAGGCATTTACAGTGCATTGCTATTCCACCATGTGGTAATATCCTCAGCGTTACCCAAAAGACAGTGAACCACACTTTGAGCGGCTGACCTCAACAATCCTGCACCTGCACCAGCTGCTTACATGGCCCACCCTTACGAGCCCTGGTTACGGACAGCACCACCTAGTGGAAGCTCAGAAGACATGAACATCCCGTCCTGGTGGGACCTCCACAGGGACGTCCAACCAGGCAGCTGGATAGACCTGCAGACAGGGCAGGGTGTTGGCTTGCCTTCGGTGAGTCCAGGAAGCTCCATGGGATTGCAGCCCTCTTTAGGGCCCTACGGTTCTGACCCACAACTGTGCGCCCTACCTCCAGCTCAGCACGCTCCAGTCTCACACTCACCCCACCTCTTCCCCCAGGATAGCTTCAAAATGGAGCCAATGGCTCCTGAAATGATGCAGCCAGAGCCATTCTCTCTGGATGAACCTCAGGAGACCTCTGTTTCTGCCCGCCCCAAGCCCCAGCGTCGCTCCTCTTCCAGAGGCACCGGCCAAGCTGTGTGTCGCTGCCCTAACTGTGTCCATGCTGAACAGCTGGGCCAGAGCACTGATGACAGCAGGAGGAAGCACATGCACAACTGCCATATCCCTGGCTGTGGCAAAGCCTATGCCAAGACCTCCCATCTGAAGGCTCACTTACGATGGCACAGTGGTGATCGGCCATTTGTCTGCAACTGGCTCTTCTGCGGTAAGAGATTCACGCGCTCTGATGAACTGCAGCGCCACCTACAGACACACACCGGAGCCAAGAAGTTCAGCTGTGCATTATGCCCCAGAGTCTTTATGCGCAATGACCACCTGGTGAAGCACATGCGCACACACGAGTCCCCACCAGGGCCTGGGGAGGAGAGGATAAACGGAGCTGGGAGGATGGATAAGGGTTTTGATACACCTACCCCTCCTCAGTCATCCTCAAACATATCTGCATGTGACACCACAGAGCCACCGCTGAAGCTGAAATGTGAGACAGACTCCTCAGTCCCAAGTGTGACAGGGCAGTCTGGGTAATTTTGTCAATTTCAGAAAAAATTTCTGAATCTGTTCCCCTCTCTGCATAGAGTGGCCATAGTTTAACAATAGAATAGAGAAAAGAAGAGAAGTTTCAACAAACTTTATTGATGAAAGCTGGATGGAACCGTGATTTGGCTGTCCTGTCAATTTATCATCTGGGTTAACTCAGTGATCATCTAAATATTATAACACACTGAAAGAAAAACAGCAAGTTTGCTCATTCTGTGGACAAAACTTTCCTCTGTGTTTACTAAAAGTGAAAGGTGACTGAGGAGGCAACTGAGCTGAAAGTTGCAGCTTGTTTCCAAACTTCCATTGCTGCTAGAGCTACTACTACCAGTAAACCAGGTGACTGGGATGAAGGTGGCTTGTTAGCTTGTTTACAGTGAAATCAATCAAATGTTTTACTGGAAGAACTGGGGAAATATTTGGTTTCCAGCACAGCTTAATTTACCTATTTCAAATGCAGCACACCTTTGAACAGAGAAAGGAGACAGTTGTGATTTTTTTTTGTTTTTATTTGTTTTGTTGTGCAAGTAGCGATAAGACACTGGAATATAATACCGCATGTTCTAATTTTTAAAAGGTCAATAGCCATTTGGATACTTGACAGAACATGCACCTAAACTGGGTATGTGTGTCGGTATGTAAGTAATTGCAATGGTAGATAGAAAAATAAAAGTACAACATTAATGTTGGAGTATCCTGTAATACTCCATGGAAAGCGTTAATGTGATATTGACATCATGCTGACTGAATATAATATAATATAATAT